CGCTCCCCCTAGAGCTGCCGAAGAGCGTTTCCGACCCGCTCCTCTGCTCCTGGCCCTCTGGGCCCTCGCTCGCACCCGCCTCTCGAAACCTCCTCTGCCAGCCTGTAGGCTGCGGGCCTCTGCCTCCGCCCCTCCTGCCCCGCCTCCCATCTCCAGTCTCCTCTCCCTCTCGCTTCTTCCCCCGGCTTGGCCTGGGACAATGATCTGCCTTACTTGGCGCTCTTCCATCTTTTCTGACCTGTCCTCTCTGCCCTAGCCTTATCAACTTGTTTCTCTGCCTCCACGGGCATCCTCTGGCCCAGGAAGCGACGCACAGGCGTTGGCAGTTTGGCTGCCCAAGCCCAGTCAGTTCTTCCAGGACCCTTGCTGCAAACTTGGTTCCTATGAACCCTCCTTCCCAGAGCAGCGGTTCGCGCCTCTCTAGAATGAAATCCTAGGCTTTCATAGCCTGCCCGACACCTGCCACCCCTTTCAAGTTCACTTTCTCCTGTTCTCCCTCTCATTCTTTACACTTGGGCTTTCCATTTGTTCTCAGAGGCATCCTGTTCATCCCTGCCTCCGGAACTGTGCACTTGAGAAACCCTTTGCCTGAATCACCCTTAGTCATCCAGTTCCCTGCTCACCTTTTCAGAGAGAACTTTCTCCATCACCCCGTGTAAAATATAACCCTCCAAGTCTCAAACAGAGAAAAAAATATATATGGTTGCTAGAATTTGAATTTCATGTAATTTTTCATATGTCGTGAAATATTATTTGATGTTTTAAACCATTTAAAAATGTAAAAACTACTTTGGCTGGCAAACCACACAAAAACTGGCCACAAGAGGGCAACTGTTTGCTAATCTCTGATTCAGAACAGACAGCACATATTGCCTGGATTTGAAATCCTGGCTCCTCTGTCAGCTGTGAACAAATTGCTACACCTCTGTGCCTCACTTTTCACCCTGTATAATAGGAATGCAACAAAGTGACCTTACTGGGGAGGATTAAATGTGTGAATTTATATATAAAGAAATTATAGATACTTAGAATTTACTTAGATCAGTGCAAGTGTTTACTATTACTTGTGTGTTTATCACCTGGCTTCCTCAGTTAGCTCATAAATTCCCAAACAACAGAAACCTTGTCTTATTCACAAGGCACAGAACTATGCTTGACTCAGTAAACATTTGTTAAATAAGTGCAAACAGATGCCCAATAAAGGGAGACAATGGCATTGTCTGGGGTGGACCCTGAGGAAGGCAGAATGGAGATTTCAGTGAAGACAGGAAAACCAAACTAACTAGGCTGGAGATGGCGCACCTGCCGAGTGAAGAACACATGCGGGTGCGCATGCACACGCACGCAAACACACACACACACACACACACACACACACACACACACACAGACACCCCTAAGGGCACTGTTGCCTGCTTTAGCAGCGTTTTGTGGTACTGGTGAATGAACCCAGAGCCTTCATGCTAAACCATACCCCCAGCCCTCAGCACTTTGTTTTTTTGTTTTTTTTTTTTTTTTGGTATCAGGAACCAAACTCAGGACCTTGTGTTTACCAGGCACATGCTGTGCTGCTAAGCTACATCCTTAGCCCAATTGTTTTTATTTTTTGAGACAAGGTCTTGCTAAGTCACTAAGTTGCCCAGGCTGGGGTCAAATTTGTATCCTCCTGCCTCAGTCTCCCCAACTGCTGGGATTACAGGGATGCACCACCATGCCTTGCGGCACCATTCCTTGATATTCTGGCCCTGGAGAGGTAGAAGTCTGCAGACCAGAAGATGAAAGGATAGTAAAAGGCTGGAGTTCATGTACCAGGGAGGACATTTAAGACTGATGAAAGCAAAGAATGACTGAGGAAACCCAGAGAGTCCCAGATCCCTTTCTTACCCTTCCCACCCTTTCCAGACCCCAAACTAAAGATGAGAGGAGACAGCCAGGCCCGATGTGCCTTTATTTCTTTTCAGTTGTGCTTGCGGCTGGAGTGGGCACGGGGGAAGAGCCCATGGCCTGGGCTCCCTGGAGACCAGGGCTGATGATACCAGCTGCCATAGGTGAGGTACCAGGCAAAGGTGCCTACTGCAGCGCCCACCACCTTGTGAGTGTATTGGTGGAAATAGATGACGGTACAGAGCAGCAAGAAGTTCCAGAGGCCCAGCAGCAGCACGTTGAGCAGGAAGACAAGGCGCAGGGGGGCACCAGCAGGCAGCCCATGGGCCAGGTACTTGGCAAACACCGCTGCCTCTTCAGCCATGAGCAGGCAGCAGAAGGTGAGCAGGAAGGTGTGGGAGGAAACTGTGTACCCCCTCCACTGGTGGCCAGCTGCCAGGCAGCTGCGGCGGTCTGGTAGCTCATGGAGCAGCAGGCCTTGGGGCAGAGGCTCAAAGCAGGAACCAGTCAGGTCCTCGATGAGCAGGAAGGCTCGGCCGGCACCCCGCCACACAGCGGCCCCCACCACTAGTCGGCTCAGGTGCCTGGCAGTCACTGCTACACGCCGAGTAGCCAGGAACACCACCAGCAGCACAAAGCCCCCCAGAAAAGTGCATGTCCAGCCCCACGCTGAATTCACAAATTTTCTGTGGGCAGAGAAGGAAGGCCACTGAGACCCCCAGTCCCACCTCCCCCCACATCTGTGTGCCCATCACTGCGTCCTCAGTCCTACACACTATCACTGGTTCTCTTTCCCACGCCCTTTAACACCCCCAGCCATTTAAAAATTGGTCTCTCCTTGGAAGACCACTGAGCATTCTAGGGTCCACATTTCCTCTTCAGCCCTACTCTTCTCCTGTACCCCCAGGCTCGGTGCCCTTCCCCCTCCCCGACCTTCTCCTCAACCTCTGTGCCTATTTTTAGCGTAAAGACTGGCAGGAGAGCAGAAGCCTGGAGAAGGGAGCTGGGATCGGAGAGCACAGGGAGCTGGCTCCCATGCCCGAGTGGACTCACATGTTAAAGAAGTTGCCGTGGCTGGCGAAGATAGTCCGGGAGTTGACATGGAACTGCAAAAGTGGCCCAAAGATCACTACTGCTGCCAACCAGGCATGGTAGAGGCGTCGTAAGCAGGGGCTGCCCAGGAGGCGGGCGGCCTGTTCACTTCCAAAGTACAGCAAGGCAGAGGCCACCCACAGCAGCACCTTGACCAGGCAGCCCAGCAGTGCCCGGGTTCGGGCCCCAGGCCCTGGCCCTGCCCCCACCACCTGCCCCCGCTCCATGTTCCCTCCCCTCCCCACTCACTGCCTGCTCTGCTGGGCAGCTGAGGAGGGGCTGGTGCCCCCCCCCACCAGGACA